ACACGTAATTAACACTCGTAATTAATTAACTCGTAATTAACACGTCATTTATCATATTAAAATCTTTCAGACATTTCTATTGTTTCCTCTGTTCCACCAGAATATCTAAATGAAGGAAGTTTCGAATAGCAGCTGGAATCTAAGTTTAAGAGAAAGGAAGAGTAGCAACTTCAGCCTCATGTAGCGGAATTCCTCTATTATTAATTGTGCTGAGTGCTTTTACTACCAACTGGTGAGTTTGTCTTTTGATTGAAAATTAAGTAAGTAATAGTAAAATAGCAAAGCCCAGGTATTAAGCTACAAATTAAAATTTAAATTAATCACTAAATTAAAATTAAGTTTAATTTTAATTTAACATCTAGATTTTTAAATGTTACGGCGATTTTTCTTCCTCCTTTCTGCATGACTTCCTGGTGTAATGGTTAGCATACTCGGCGCGTATTCGAGAGGTCCAGGGTTCGAGACTCGGTGAGAGCATTGCTCATTCTTCCTATCTCCTGCTTTAAAATAACCTAATGCCTCTACAATGCCTTAAGTCATTATTGCCTTTTCATCCCGGAATTAGTCGAGGTTAATTTTGTTAATTATTTTAGTTCTTAAATTTCCAACTGACATTTAAATACACTCATGTCCATAAATTAAGGATAATTCGGAGTCACGCAGAAATCGAACCCTAAAATAAATATATCACCTGTAAAATCACTACACACATCTTCAAGAATCATATGCAAATTTTCGGAAGTAACCAGATGACACAGATGGTACGTCACAATGACGAGAGTGTAAGAGAGTGATATATAAGGAATACAGGCAAAGAAGTAAAATTTCGCAGGCGCTTTATAAGCATTTCAGTGCAATAACCGAATAGTTATGACACAAAGGAAGCAAATTTGGATGATTTTTTACGTGGTAGAATTATCGGCCGTCTGGAATGTGGGCGTACCCAACTGGAAGTATCAGACGAACTTGGAATTGCCCAGAGTGTCATCTCCAGGCTTTGGCAACGATTCCAAGATGATGGTAATGTGAGTAGACGTTAGAGCACAGCACAGGTCGCCCAGAGTTACAACGCCGAATGAGGACCGGTATTTGGCAGTTACTGCCAAAAAAAAAACAGGCGGAGCACAGCCTCAGACCTGTCTCGTCAGCTCTCTTCAGCCACTGGTACGACAATTTCAAGGCAGACCGTGTACAGACGCTTAGGGCAGATTGGTCTATATGCTCGTAGACCTGTCAGATGCGTTTCCACTTACTGCAACTCACTGTCGCCTGCGGTTAAGCCTGGAGTAGAGAGCATGCATTGTGGACACCGCAACAGTGGGCTTGTGTGATGTTTCCGACGAGTCCAGGTTTAGCTTGCAGTCTGATTCTCGCCGGACTTTCATATGGAGAGCTCCAAGTACCCGTTACCACCAAGAAAACATCATTGAACGACACCGTTACAGTGGTGCAGTAGTGCTCGTTTGGGGTGGAATTATTCTGGGTTCAGAACTGACTTGCATGTTCAAATTGGAACCATGACAAGCCAGATCTATCGGGACGTTATTCTGGAACAAAATGTACGTTTGTTTCGGGGCGCCATGGGCGCACAATTTGTGTTTATGGATGATAACGCCCGTCCTCACCGTCAAAACTTTGTAAGCGAATGCCTTCAATCGGAGGATATCACCCGTATGGACTGGCCAGCATTCTCACCGGACTTGAATCCAGTAGTAGAGCACGTGTGGGATATGCTTGGGCCGACGAGTTGCACGCCGTGTCAACCTCCTCCTACATGTCTACCGGAACTTCGGAGAGCATTGCTTTTGAGTGGTGTAATATCCCCCAAGATCAGATCGATAATTTGATACTCAGCATGCCTAGGCGTTGTACGGACTGTATTGCATCGTCTGGGAGACATACAATGTATTAACAATCATACCAACCATGTAATATTGATTTTTTGTAATTTGCTCCGGGAGAAAAAAATAGTAATTTTTTAATAATATCAACATATAGCATCTTTTTTTGCTCTTTACCTTTTGTTTAATAAATAAGCTTTACAAATAAGTCAAATTTGTTTTGCTTCTAACTCTTCCTTTGCGTTATTTTGCATTATCCTTAATTTATGGACATGAGTGTAAATTTAGTTGTTTCCACATTGATGTACTGAATTTAGTGTTCTAGTACTGAAATGTAAAGATGGGAAGATAAATCGTCCGGCAATTTTAGTAGGTTTAACTATTGTTTCGATTAAATAAAATTCAATTTGACCTTATAAGTTATTTAAAAATTGTTTCATCAGCTCATGTATTCTGATAAAGCGAAAAGCAGACGATGATTAAAACGCTATAATACAGAATTCAAAGAGGTATTTCTAGTGTTAACAAATAAAAAGTTTTATTTAAATTTGCTATTTCTACAGCCTATTCTTGGTTCTTATGAAATGTTCATAATAGTACAATATTAATCCTCCCCTCTCATGAGAGAGGAGCTTATTTGCCTCTTTAGCAAAGAATAAATAAAACTTTGAATATATCTCAAAAATAAAAATCGATTTATAAAAGCTTACCTGAAAAACGGTGACAATTGCCCATAAAAGTGAATCGAAATTCTTACGATCGCACTGGGTTCCACCGTCCGGCATTTTCTTACAAAATTTGCATCCGAACAGATTCATACCTAGAATGCTGGAAAACAAAATCGGTAAAACTGCATATTATCAAACAAGGCAGTAAAATTAAAATTTATATATTTTCAAAAGGAAAACGAATGCTTTATGAATGATATCAATAATTTAAAAGAATGTTGCAAAATAAATTGAAGCTCTTTGTGAGGCAGATGGGGCCCACCAGCGGACGAGCGGTAAAGTCGCTGAACACTGGTAGTTCGGTTCGAGGTTCGAATGCCGCGAACGGGCTGGCTGCATGGGTTTTCGTGGTTTTCCCATGCGTAACGTGTATACGAGCCATTTCCCTAGAAAGTTCCACAAGGCATCCTCCCGTTAGAAATCTTTCCTGCATGCCGCGAAGGCATCCCTCCCGTTAGGCAGATAGCCTTCGAGGCTTTGCCGTAATTAAATAACCTAACCTATGAGGCAGATGTTATCAGATAAGAACTGAAAAAACGTATTTTCAGTTCTAAAGAGACTATTTTATTACTGCTATCAACTGGCAAAGATTACAAAGAAATATTCTTGTTGTTCCTGATTTAAAAATTTTGCTCATTGTTAAATCTTACAGGTGCTATTGCAAATTTGAATGAAGATATTAATATAGATAATTACAGTTGTTCCGATTATCCTTACATTTCGAATCTGACAAACATCTAAGTAACTGGACTATTGGAAAATAAGTATAATTATAAAAAAAAGTTATAGTTATACTTATTTTTCAATATTCCAGTTAGTTTTTGACTAGTCAGGTTTGTGACTAGTCAGTCAAACAATCCGTAAGTCAAATATTACTGTTTATTATTCAAATACTAGAAATTTATTTCTTAATTTATCATATTTTATTTTAATGAAGATTGTAGATTTTAATTCCGTAAAAATATTTAAAGCATATTCTGTTTATTTATAAAATTAAAAAAGGGGTAATTTGTTTTTGCCTAAAATTACAACTCATATCAAGTAAAATAACAATGAAATCAATTTTTTAAAATTTAATTCTTGCCTTTAAATTCAAAACATAATTTTACCTTTATAGTCTCTGTAGTAAATTTAAAGAAAAGAAAATTATTTTTTATTTCCCTAAACACTCAAAACATTTGCATGTCAATTAAAAACTTTAAAATTTTTTTTTCATATTATTTACGCGGGTTCTTATATCAAACATATAATTTTACTTTTACCTGTTGTTTAATTAAATTGAAAGAAGAGATTTTTTTTTAAAATTTTGTTTATTTAACTTCCTTCTGCGAAGTAAAGGGATAACTGTAATCGCGAAAAATTTCGGGCATCATATTACAACGAAAATATCTATTTTGACCACTATCGGATCCACTTGCATGATATTTTCGTGTAACATCTGTACTTACGTACGTACGGACAGAATAAAGGACTCCTTTTCCTGGATATTGATTGTAAAATGGATTTAAAATGGATTCAAAAGATTTTTGTTTCGTGACATCTGTACGTATGTACGTACATATGTATCTCGCATAGCTCAAAAAACGAGCAGCCGTACAAAGTTGAAATTTTGCATATGGGACTGCTACGAAATGTAGTTGTGCGCCTCACCTAATCGTTGCAATCGGCGGCACCAAACGTGTATGTTACTGTAAAAGACCGAAATTGGAGAATGTCGACTTTCACTGAAGAATGTCAACATTCACCAAATACGTCGGTGAAAGACCGAATATTTCACTACAGTCTTGCATATTCGGACCCTCACCGGCGCATGTCGACAATCACAGATATGCTCTGGTGAAAGTCCAAAAGTTTGACTACTATCGGATCCACTTGCATGATATTTTCGTGTAACAACCGTACTTACCTACGTACGGACAGAATAAAGGACTCCTTTTCCTGGATATTGATTGTAAAATGTATTTAAAATGGATTCAGAAGATTTTTGTTTTCGTGACATCTGTACGTATGTACTTACATATGTATCTCGCATAGCTCAAAAAACGAGCAGCCGTACAAAGTTGAAATTTTGCATATGGGACTGTTACGAAATGTAGTTGTGCACCTCACCTTATCGATGCAATCGGCGGCACCAAACGTACATGTTACCGTGAAAGTCCGACATTGGAGAATGTCGACTTTCACCGAAGAATATCAACATTCACCATACGCGGTGAAAGACGAATATTTCACGACATCTTGATATTCGCCCCTACCGGTGTAGTCGCATCACAGATTGCTCTGGGAAGTACGAAAGAAGGTCATAAGTGCATAATTTAAGTTGTTGCAATAAATAAGATTTGAATGCTTTTGTAGTTTTATTACTGTATTTTATTTTCTCATTTATAAGTCGGTATATTAATAAGTTTTAACTTCTATTATTTTCCTTTCTCATTTTTGATTTATTGAGTGTTTTAGGTTCTCATGTTCTTAAGTTCATTTCGGTTCAAGTGCGTTTATTCGCGACGGAATTACGAGAAGAAATATAATGTTATGTGTCAACATTCACCATTAGTACAGGGAATGTCACATTGACCGGTGTAGTCGAATAAAAGTATTGGAAATATTTCGGATACACAAGAGACTAGTGGTGCTGACATTCACCGGTGAAAGTCGCATCTCCAATTCGGGTTGCACGTAACAGATAATATATTCCACCTTGTTTCCCACCCGCTAGGTGGTCATCGGTAATTGTGCGTTGTTGTCTTGTTGTTCTTATGTCCGGTTAAGTTTTATGACTTTAGTTAATCTGCATCAAAGTTTAATATCAACACTTAAAAGTTAAGTGGCACTAAGCTAAGAGGCCGCCATTGAAACTCTAATGGAATAGCATTAATCGTCTGCACTCAGTGTGTTTTTGCCGAGTGGGACCAAACTAAACATTCAATTTTTGGGCACCGAAAAATCTATCTTCTTATCCGCTCGCCGAATTGCTTGGTTTTGCCTAGAAACGGTAATTTATTTGTAAAAAATTTGTTTTAACTGCTTTAACTGTATTTTGTGTTTTATTTTTTTCTGTATTTCTGTATTTTCTGTATTTTACAATTTTTTATGAAGATGTTTTTAGTTTTATGTTTTTTTGCTTTGCTGCGAGGTGAGAGCTGAATGAATTGAATGAGAAATATATCTTTAATCAAATTCGTGGAAATAAATTTAATAAAATGCAGCAAAAGTGTGTATAATTTAATAGGCCGTACAAGGAAGCCAGTGGTCTCCACATCAGAGTTTTTTTTAAATTAAAAAACAATTTATATATTTTTGCAATTTCGCTCATTACACGTTAAAGAAAGAGACACATTAATTTCGCAAAATAGATGTATATGCAATGCACATGTCTACGTATGTATTGTTTACAAAAGTTATGTAAGTTTATGTAGATTTTAACAAAACGTATGTTAAATAACAGCCTAATTTATAAAAATGCTATGAAAGATATAAAGAATAAAACAAGTCCCCGAATTCCGTCTTAATAGACTTCTAACTAAACCGCTGGAATGGTACTCGTTGTAAGTCGAAGATTATCTGTAGATACATCAGAATAAAAGCAAGTGTTTAATATTCTACATAACTCAGCAAGAAGAAATTTTACATTTACTGTTACTAATCAAGAAAAAATGAAAGCAATGTCGATATAGAAGATTCATGAGCATAATCTCTTAATGATGAAGTAAATGAAAAAGCGAAATTCAGAAATTGGGCTTAGTCAGAAAATCCATCTTCTTTTAAGAGTAAAATCGTTTGTGGCAACCTGCGTCCCCGTAGTTTCATAAGCAAAAATTGTTTGTCGTCGGAAACACTTACAGTGTAGACAATAAAAGTTCTTTTCAACCGGAATTTAGATATTTTTACTTCCTTCTACGAAGTAAAAAGGAAGTATTGTAATCGCGAAAAGTTCAGGCAGCAAATTTCAACAAAATTCCATTTTGACCGCTTATCGAATGCAATTTAACGATGTTTTGCGTGATCTGTACGAAGAATAAAAGACTCGTTTCCTCCAAAATTAAAAAACTGCTTTAAAATGAATTCTGAAGAGAATTTTTCGTGGGTCTGTACGAAGTATGTACGCACGTACGTACGCATTCGAGTAGCCTCAGAAGTTGAAATTTTGTATAGGACTGCTATAACATGTAGATGTGACCACGATTTTGGTGCAATCGGCCACAAAAACGTATATAAATATATATATATATATCACTTGTTACCCGGATTAGCGATCTCAGTTTCTACTTATTGTTTGTAAATGTAATTTTTTTTTTAAAATGATTAAATTATGTTTTTTATCTTCCGGTTAGGTTTTATGCCTTATAAATCTGTATGCAATATTTTTAGACCAATTTAAAGTGTGTTAATGGCCTACAAGCCTTTTTTAATGGCGGCCTGATATTACATTTGAAACGGAGACTAGTGGATTTGTGCCATCTAGGAAACTAGCTTCGCAACAACAAAGATAACGCTTCATTTATTATTGCCAATAAATCATGCTTAATCCTTTCTGGAATTTTTTGAGGAATACTGTTTAAGATTACTTCGTAATTTTTAATTAGATATTTGAGTTTTATCTATTTGACTTTTGCGATTGAGAAACTGAATAATGATGAGAAAGATCAATCATCTGTGAAAAACTGTTTATTTTTTGTTTGTTTGCTTAATTCTTGATACATCATTTCGCTTATTATAGATTGAATAAAAATTGGACAAAGATAGAAATTCTACTCTTTAAAATAATAAATTTTGTCATACGAGTATAATAGAACGAAATATAATATTGTTACGTAATCTAGCGCCAGAGTGTCGCTGTGGTAAACAAAATAGAGTGAATTTTAAAGAATGCTTATCTATTGTGGTTTATCGCTTTCATCCAATTAGTTAAAAACGAAAAAAAAAATGCGTATAATTTAATATTCCTACAAGGAAGTCATGTGGTGTACACATCAGATTTTTTAGAATTTCTGAAACAATCGATTTCTTCTGCAGAGGTTTTTCAAAAACTAAAGGAATAGGAAAAGAAAGTCACCGTCTATGGCACGTTTTTATTCACAGAGAATATTTGCTGAATGGACA